ATAGATAATAGATAATAGATAATAGATAATAGATAATAGATAATAGATAATAGATAATGGATAATAGATAATAGATAATAGATAATAGATAATAGATAATAGATAATAGATAATAGATAATAGATAATAGATAATAGATAATAGATAATAAATAATAGATAATAGATAATAGATAATAGATAATAGATAATAGATAATAGATAATAGATAATAGATAATAGATAATGATAGATAAATAGATAATAGATAGATAAATAGATAATAGATAGATAAATAGATAATAGATAGATAAATAGATACTAGATAGATAAATAGATAATAGATAAATAGATAATAGATAAATAGATAATAGATAGATAAATAGATAGATAAATAGATAATAGATAGATAAATAGATAATAGATAGATAAATAGATAAATAGTTAATAGATAGATAAATAGATATTAGATAGATAAATAGATAATAAATAGATAAATAGATAATAGATAGATAAATAGATAATAGATAGATAAATAGATAATAGATAATAGATAAATAGATAATAGATAGATAAATAGATAGATAAATAGATAATAGACAGATAAATAGATAATAGATAGATAAATAGATAAATAGTTAATAGATAGATAAATAGATAATAGATAGATAATAGATAGATAACTGTAATTAGGATAAAATAGATTAATAGTAAAGTAGAAATTAGATAAATAGATATAGATAAATGATAAATAGATAAATAGATAAATAGTAATAGTAAATAGTAATAGATAATAGATAAATAGATAAATAGATAAATAAAAAATAGATAATTAATAAAGATAATAGATAAATAGGATAAATAGATAAAATAGATAAATAGATAAATAGATAAAATAGATAAAATAGATAAAATAGTAATAGATAAATGATAATAGATAAATAGATAAATAGATAGATAGATAAATAGATAATAGATAGATAAATAGATAATAAATAGATAAATAGATAATAGATAGATAAATAGATAATAGATAGATAAATAGATAATAGATAATAGATAAATAGATAATAGATAGATAAATAGATAGATAAATAGATAATAGACAGATAAATAGATAATAGATAGATAAATAGATAAATAGTTAATAGATAGATAAATAGATAATAGATAGATAATAGATAGATAAATAGATAATAAATAGATTAGATAAAATAATAGATAAATAGATAGATAGATAAATAGATAATAGATAGATAAATAGATAATAGATAGATAAATAGATAATAGATAGATAAATAGATAATAGATAGATAAATAGATAATAGATAGATAAATAGATACTAGATAGATAAATAGATAATAGATAATAGATAATAGATAATAGATAATAGATAATAGATAATAGATAATAGATAATAGATAATAGATAATAGATAATAGATAATAGATAATAGTTGGTAGTAGATAATAAATAAAAGAGATAGGTAATAAATAAACAGTTAACAAGTTTAGACTTTGCATACGAAGTAAGCCGTATAGATTAAACCATTCATTAATTTAAAATATTCCAAGCCGTACAATCTTGAAACTTGACTGTGTTCTTTACGTTCTATATGTGAATGTTATAAAAACAAGATATTAAGCTTTTACGAACTAGAATTTAGGCTCATTTATAATGCTTTATCAGTTCTCCATATATCATTGTCATTAAATAACACTTGAACCTTTAAAGACAACCACAATTGTCTTTTATGCATTGTGTATATTTGTGACCATAGCATTTTGTATAACTTATATATGCACCTAAGTATCTAAATATAATAATGCATAACTCAAATTTCAACTTAATAGATTATTGTGACTTACTACAGCGGTTAATTTGGAACTCTGTTGCTCAGGCCTAAACCACTTAAATGAAACGCATAAGGAAAAACAATAAAAATTGATCAACAAAAAAATGAATTCTGTTTTATCACGATAATACCAGACCACTCTGATGACTCGGAACAAATTGACGAAATTCGGTTGAAAAGTTTTGATACATCCACCGTATATCCCGGACCTTAATCCGTTTGACTACAATTTGTTTTGATCAATGCAAAACTCTGTTAATGTCAAGAAATTGACCAATGAAAATCGCTTGGTCAAGTTTTTCGTCGTTAAATCACAATTGTTTGATATCGATGGAATCATGAAGTTACCCGAAAAACGACAAGTGGTTATGAATAATAAAAGCCATACTAATTTGTATTAAACTTAACCGAACTTATATTAAAATGTACAAAAACACTGTGGATAGTCTTTATATCATCTATTATTATATCGCTGAAAGTAAACAATAAAATGCCATCACATTACAATTAAATTACCAATATCATAAATCAAATCACCAAGCTCCTGAAACTTTTGGTTACTGATGCAACACAATTCCTCAATTTCCAAAGCTGACAGCTTCTAGGCAAATTCATCCTTCAGATGGTCCAATTATTGACCGAGTACAGTACAATTCCGAGTTAAGAGTTTTGCCGTAGGGGAGCAGCTCATATTAGATGAATCCTTGGCAATCCCATCAAACACACAGCAAAACCTTTCTGGCCGTCAATCCTGGCTATCAAAAGTTGTTTTAGTACGAAATCCCATCTTTCTACAGCCATCTAACGTAACCCGATCGGATTTATACAATGCGGTGTACAGATAACTAATACCATCTGTTAGGAAAACAATGGATTAATTTTCATAACACGTAATATTGAAGAACATGGAAATTAACAAAGGAACTAATTTCATCTTTATTTCCATAACGCTCTTAATATGAATATTAATTGCATTACAAAATAATGTAACGACTACTTAATATAATATTGCTTTTGTTTATAATACAAAACTATCACACCTCCACATAGTTAAGGTCTTAACCCCGTCGATTATATATATTACTTTTTAATTATTTATATTTTTATTTTTTTTATATTTTATACCCAAAAGTAATAATTATTGTAATAATAAAGTCTCTTCTACTGACCCATAATGACTTAGTGGATAATTGTGACTTAAATAATTTTTAAATTAATTTAAATATTAGCATTTGAGTTTTAATTAATCTAAAATACTTTCAGAATACACTTATAATGAATATATATCTGGCAGTATTCAAAACAGCTGAGACCGATGTAATTTTTTTTAAATTAATCAATTTAATAATTTTAGTTAATCGTTAATTATATTAGCTAATATTAAAAAATATTACTAATATAATATAATAATATAATTTAATGCTAATCGAACTTTAAAGTGTGGAAATGATTTAATGTCCTGAACTGTAGCTATAGTTTAAATTTTAAGACAGATATTCTATATATGTCGAAGTTTTTATTTACAATATTCTGGATGGAAAAAAAAGGAAACAAAAACCTTTGTCTTCCGGTTTTCTTTAAAAAAGAAAAAAGCATTAATTTAAATGACATATATTAGCCGTAATTTTTTCTTTCAGAGTACCAAAAAAATGCCCACAACTTATAAGAGAAAACATGTAGAGCAACAGCAATGCTCTTAAAATCTTCAAAGTTAGGTTTTACACGTCTTAAGTTTCAGTGCAGCCAAATTAAAAATCAGTCTACTGTGAATGTTCACTGGAAATATGTTCCAAAATTCCATTCATACGTTAAAATCATAAGAGGATTTCGTTTACTAATATATATATAATATATAAAAAAATAAATATATAAAAAAGAAAATATATACATAAAAGAAAAAAAATGAATTTTAGAAGGGTAATGGCAATTATTTTTATATAACTTATTTAAATTATTTATTTATTTATTTATTTATTTGAATTTATATCCGTATATATATATATACATATATATTGTTTATAAAAAAACATTTAACATAATATAAAAGTGACGCCAAATTGTTTCAACCAGAGTTCATGCTGTTTTTTTACAACTCTGAAAGAAAAAATTACAGCTATTCTTAAACTTGATAATATTATATATATGCTTTTAATTATATGTAATAATTTGTATTTAATCACACAATAAATACATTGAGCCGCCTAACACTTTATTGATCTATTTTGAAGAGCTCTTAGAAGCATGAGTGCCGTTTAATTTTATAATTTTTTCTGACCATAAATAGGAAGCTCATTATGATCGACAAACCGTCATAATGCCAACGATTAACTACAAATGCGAATATTACTAGTAACACAGATTCAAAATAATACAGTTAATCATTCGAAGCCGGGAATGTCGGTTAAAAGCCGTACAAATTCATAGAACACCGCTGCACAACGTGGCGAGATGGCAATATGCAACTGGGCTGCTATGCGGCGTATGCACCAAGCCGCCGACGTCGTCGATCACGTTTCATGCCTCACTTTTCACGGTTCATGTGAGATGTGTGTTGGATTTTTTTCACAGAAACGATTGCTCTTAAACGTATTTCTTGCCAACTCATATGTATCTTTTTCTCACTGCTCACCGCGATTATCTCAGTTATTCTTCTGCTTTGCTATGTCATAACGTTTCAGACAATAAAAAAGTCTCTTCGTTAACAATAATTATATTTCTTAATTAATTTTTTATCTGTTCTAATCTTCTAATCTTTCGTGGCACTGTTTGGTGGTTCTGTGTGAATTGGCATTGAATGGCTGGCTATTGCCGCCGAACTTCACCACCTCGCAGAGCACAGAGAAAATTATAGAATCACAAAACGGTGTGATGTAAACAAGTTTTTTCTTAGTAAGTCGAGATCTTTCGCCTCGCATTCATAATTAAGGTAACTGCTAGACTTGGTGTTGGCAGGCATTTGACAGAAAAAAGATACTAAAAAGGTTTACAACATGAATTTAGCACTTTTTTATTTACATAATTTATATTAAATGACCGCAAGCATCACAACCAATGTCTGATGCTATATTATGGAAAAGTTATTTAAAAAAAATTTATGTTGAAAACAGATTTTTATTCTTGTTAATATTTTCCAAAGTAATGGCAGTGCATATTTGGCAATAAAATTTTAAATAATATTCGTAATTTGTGTTCGATGTACTTAGAACACAAAATGTACTTAGGTGGGCTAAAACATTTGCATATTAATGAAAAACATTGAACAACCTATAAATTATTTATACAAGGTATCATCAAATACCATAGTAACAAGAATTTCTAATATTTCAGGAAGTACACATACAACCCAGAATGTATATTCTTACCCCTTCAAAAGGATACGTTCTTAATTATAGAAAAACTGCTATAACGGTTTTATAAAGTATAGTTTGGATGACCTTTAATTGACGTCTTCATCTTTTCTACTTTTAATAGGCATGCGGAAGTCACTATCTATATTTTGAGCCTTGGCAACACTGATTGTTTTCAGGTGTCATCCGATGTTTCCATAAGAATTTTTGACATTATTAAACATAACCTAACTTACCCTTTTCTCAAAACATTTACAGTGATTTGTAAATTTAGTGTTCACGAATAATTAAATTAATGCAAGAAAATTTGGGAACGTTCGACGTGGCTTATCAAGATATAAATGCATCGATTAACTTACTTCCACATTTGGCGATGAACTCCATCCTTTGCCACTGTGAAACGCTGGTACACTGATTTTAATCATGGCTCCAGTCCGCTCCCTGATAAAATTCGTATAGATTGTCCAAAATCAGTTGTTTAGTTGTTGTGCCAGAAAACATCGATGCTGTGCAAGAACTGATAATACGAGATCGTCATGCGACATACTCGTACTGTGAGATTGAGGGAACCCTAGCCGTTAGTTCCGCCAGAATATATAAAATACTGCACGATCATTTAGAAATGTTTGTTCTCATTTGATGCCATCTCGCATCATTTGGCAAAATCTCGAAAAGATATTCGTGTCAAATGGTGCACACAAATGAACAAATGCTCAAAAAGTACGAGTACAATGGCATTACTTCAAAAGACGTATACGAGTATAAGATTATAACAGATAAGGAATCATGGATATATGCATATGAGCCGGAACGTAAACAGTAGTCGACTGTATGAGTCTGTTTGGTTTCAAGATGACCCAAATTCAATAAAAGTTGTTCGCACTCTAAGCACTTCGAAACAATTGATCGCTTGTTTTTTCGGCAAACTGGTCATGTGGTAACTATATGGATACCTTTAGGGGAACGTAAAACAGTCAATTTTGAATGATATGCAAATATTTGTTGTTGTTCGGTTTACCGTTGAAGTATGAACAACAAACAAGCGTCGTCGGATCATTCTTCATCAAGACAATGCGAGTACTCATACATCTCTTCTAACAACCGACTATTTGAAGATTTAAAAAATCGAATTGATCCGCCGTACGGATGAATGCATTGATTTGGCACCCAATAACTTCTTCTTGTTTTCGAACGTCAAAAATAAATTGCGTGGACAACGATTTTAGTAAACAATGGCGGAAGAAACCGTTGTTGCATTTAAAAGCCATGTTTTGAAGGTGTCTGAAGTAAATTGGAAGAAATCCTTTGACAAATAGTTTAAACGCATATACAATTGTATTGATCATTAAGGGGAATTACGAGAAACAATAAAGAAATTTTCAACAAGTTATTACTTTTTCATTATTAGGCTCAAACTAGAAATAGTGGTCCTCGTACAACTGAAATAGATAGAAGTATTAGCAAATAGCGCATCCAATATTTAAACCAAGACCTAGATGTCCATTTTAAGTGCATTTATATATAATTACTTAATTTTTATATACAATACCAATAACTTACCTATAAGTATGCATATACCTATATAATTATACCCATATAATTATAATATATAATAAATTATATATTATATATGTATATATTTAATGGACTGTAAGTGCCAACTTCAAAACTTTGAATCTGTCAATTAAAAGCATTGCCTTCGCCTATCTTCACAAAACGAGCCAATACTCCAATGAAACCTTCATTGTTCAGATTTAAAGCTTTTCAGATTTGAAGTTACATTTTTCTGATTCTTCAGGAGGCAACTATCTATATTAATGAATACAGAAGATAAATTTAATATAAATAATGATAGCTTTATAGTTGTAATTATCATAAACATTTTCTTTTCATGTGTTTAATGTATTTTTATTTTATTTTCTTTAAATCGCCAGTTAAATTAACTAAAATTTAAAAAAAAACATATACAAATTATTTCCTCAAAGAATTGAAAATGCTTTGGTCTACTGACTATGTTTTGAACGAGAAAAGCTTATCAAAATCGGTTAAAGCTGTAAGATATTCGTTCTCCGAAATGAAAATATCTTCAAATTTTTTTACTTTTTCATAGTGCGGAGTACATTTCAATACTGTTATAGGGGAGGCTACATTCAATTTGGAGCTCTCTTTATCGACACTACTACATTGTTTCTTCTCATACTGTTGTACTTGCTTAATTTTATTCATTTTCTTCTTCTGATTTATAACTTCACTTTCATTACCAAAAACAGAATATACATTAGTACTAGTAACACTACTAGATTCTTTATGACGTTTCTTATTAAATGCCTTTGAACGTTTGTACTGAATTTTTTTAAATTGTGACGTTTCTGTTTGAGTTCCCTTATCCTCCCGCATTACATAAAATCCGTAATACGTACCTTTTTTGTCATTTATTCTGGAAACTGTACCCATATTTAAACAACTCTTACTTTTACACAGAGAAGGTACAACACAATTCTTCTCCTGAGATACGTCTTCGGTTTTCTTCCTATTACCATCATTACTTGATTTTGCCGATCTCATATTCCGTATTCCAGGCACTTTGTTATAATCTCTCAAATTTTTATGTGGACAATACGGATTAACTGTTTCTCTTCCTTGTTGAGCTCTAAATTGATGAGTGCTGTCATTGAGTGATGTTTTCACTTCATTCACATAACTTTTATCAAAATTTATTCTATTTCTTTTAGAGGGATTACTTTTAATTGACGGAATTAATTGCTTTTTAGAGGTGTGACATGGTTCCCATTGTATTCTACTCATTAAAGGTGCGTATTGAGCTTCTAGATTTATAAAATCTTTTAAAATAGTTGAAGCACAGTTGTCCATGGTTTGTTTTGTTGCTTCGGGTATCAATGGTGAACTAAATGGTTTCAATTTTATACGTTTGTGGTCTTTCCTTGATGATTCTTTTATAAGATGTGGACAATCTACTGCATCTACTTTCACACCACTGGGGGGCATAGATTTTGATGCACTTACCAGTGTTTTTAATTCCGTGGTTTTTCTATTGAAACTAATATTTGTATCCACTAAATGGTCTACAGTAGGACAGTATGTCGGTACATTCGAACTATGAAAATTTTGAGTTTCACATAGGTTATTAAAATATCGTAGTCTCTTCGATAGAGGTAAGAGAGATAGATCTGAAATAAATTATTTTCATATTAAGTTTATATATAATATAGAAGGTATTTTAAATATCAAATGAATTTGTTACTAACATATTGGTTAATAATCCCTTATTTAAAAATCATTAGAGGAAATATTTTTAATAAATCGTAAGAGTTGAATCTGTTTACTTCTTAGCGAATTCAAGTTTCCTTAATTTTTAATAATATATTACAGATCACGAAAACTATAACTTTTTAGTGGTATATTTTTCTTTTTTTTAAATAGCTTTGCACATCATTCCCCGCTCTCGCCCTTGTTGTACAATATCTACACGTCTGACATTCCAATGCTAAATCCTTCGGTATTATCATTATACGCAGATGACATGTGCTTGTTATATTCTGATAAACTTGCCAGAAATGAAACCAATATGCTGCAGGAGTATATTAATCTCATCCTGGGGTTGTTCCAGAAATGGAAAATAAAAATTAACAATGAGAAAACTAAAGCCCTGTTTATTATACGTAAACAACATCCACCGAGAGTAAGAGTTGATGACATCGTGATTGATTGGGAGGATAGTATTAAATACTTAGGTATCACGTTTGATAAATGGTTCACTTGGCATAAGCATATACAAGTCAAAAGAAGCAGTTGCGCTAAAACACTGTAATGCTTACAACCACTTTTCAAACACAACCTTAGCGCGAAGAACAGAAAACTTATCTATAGCCAGATAATTAGACCAGCTTTCGACTCTACTATACAAAAGCTACAAGTTGCTCAACGTCAGGATCTCCGAAGACTTCTCAAAGTGCCTTGGTACATCCGCACTAACGACATGCTAACAGAACTTAGAATAGACCCGATCAAAAAATACATAAGGGACAGAGCCTGCTATTTAAAATAACAAGCAAACAGATTTCAAACCTAACATGTTGTATTATAGAACCAGCAAAAATAGTGCAATGCATGTACAACACTTACCAGTTTCTGATAAAAATCGATTCGCATTTTTATCAAAAGGTTCTCTCTTCATTTTAAAATGGCTCTTCCTTACTGAGCTGTGGCATCTGATGGGAGGAACTTGAGATCCATCTTAAAATAATACAACACAAAATCAATTTAGTTTTTATATAATTAATAAAGTTAATTTTTCCCTTGAAGCTTCTACTTCAATATTGGACATAAACCTTATTACATAGGTTATCTATTTAAGTTTAATATGTCATATATATAATTTCCGTAGACGCGTTTGTGAAATTGATATAATTTAAATAAAAAAATTAGTTAGACGGTCTTAAACTATGAGTTAGGTATTATCTTACTTTTCTAAACAAACAGTTCCTTTGTTAATATCATCAGAGAGCTGAACTAAATAGCGGTACAAATTTGTATCAATTATATTGTACTATTTTTTTTTATTATTTTTCTTTTTTTTTATATATATCTATTATAAGTAATTGCCTACCTTTTGATTGAGATACATTTTGTTGCTGTAAGTTTTGAACTAACTCCGCTTGTTCACCTACAACACCTCTGCGTATCTTCTTGGTTGCTCTATGTTTATGTGCTTTACTGCTGCGCTTAATTTCAGAACCATTATACAAAGAAAATTTTGGTTGTAAATCTTCATAAATTCCAGACATGTTTAAAACACATTTGGCGATTTCAAAACTTGATAACATTAAAATTTAATAGTGTTGTTATAAATTCTTATAATCTCAAATGCTAAATAGAACCACACATCAATTTAGTTTAATTTTGTTGAAGGAGTTTTAACAAATTAAATATTGACAAGTCTAAACTTTTTCATTTTAGCAGAAATTTCATAGATATCTTTTCTTTACCATTTATATTAAGTATAAACAAAATTGTATTTGAAAAGTAAACTGAAAGTGAAAATTATATCTAATGCTATATTGTACACATGTATGTATCTTATTTATGAGATCTTCAAGATGAGTTGGTTTACATATGGTTAAGTACTAAGTTATTGATTGATGCTTTGTATCGATCTGTTCTACTTGCCTCGAATTACATTTTAAAAGACATATCTTGCTAGTCACAATTCAACTATATGACGACACTGCATCGAAAATAAACACAAAAAATCCAGTACTTAAGATATTCCTTGGAAGATAATTTATTGAGGTCACATTGTTGAGTTTAGACAAAGCCTATATAATATATAGAAATTAAAATTGGATTAAGATCACAATACAAATTGTATTTTATTTACATTTACTTCTGAAACCACAAAATTAATAACCGTGCTAGTCACTATTAATACTGATTCCTACAATCCAGAATATATCAAAATATTCTACTAAAATTTGCAACTAAAACAAAAATTATTCAATAAATTTGAAATAGGCTTTAGTGAACACGTAAAAGAAAAATTAAAACAGGAGGTGTGTATTTTTTAATATTTTTTATTTAATAATTTAATAGTTTAATAACTAAAACTATAAACTACAAGTTAATATTTATAAATGTTTAAATTTTTTACCTACATATGTTTTTTAAAAACTTGGCAGTGAACAATTCACAAAATCTACAAAAATTATTCAAAATTAATATTTACTATTTATTTTATATTTTAGGTTTTTTTTACCTATATATATAAATTATATATTTCAATTCCTTAGTGCAATTTTCACTAATATATCGCCGCAGAAATGTATGCTTTATATTCTTTTAACGAAGAATATTATTAGACCAGAAGCCTTCTTAGCTCTGTAGCTCAATACCACTAAAACTTCGAAAAAATATATTGATCAAATACCGAGTTTTCGGGTTGGGAATGGATACCATTCTTTAAATAACATTTCTTTGAGTCATTATTTTTTAATCAACCAACAGAAATCATCTCAAAAGTATGCAAAAAGCTATTATGCGAATGCGAAACCTTCACTCACAGAAGGTTTCAAGATATATTTTTTAAAGGCTAAATCTTGAAACATATATAATTTTTTCCACTTCATTCATAACTCGGAAGCAGATTCACTACTGAAATATTTCGTGCTTTTTAAAGCATATTTTTTGGCAAACATAAATAATATTTGTATATTACATAATATCAGCTAATTGTATACTTTGCAATATATCTACTTTCAGTCTCTTGTTATATTAAGATAGATGCATATTTATTTCCCAACGATTGCTATATTTTTGCCAATCTTTCTATGAAAATTATGCACTGCGATAAATAGATCAAATAAGAGGGTAGATCGAGGGATAAGCAATCTAAATTTCTTTTTTAGATTTTTCAGTGGTGTTAAGGTTACTGAGTTCAGATCAATAACCCGTTTTTCCCCTACACATCTATATGTCTAGCAATAACAAGTTCAAGATCAAAAAAATTCACTACAGTGTTAATAAAAATTTTTAATTATTAAAGATACGAATTCAATTCATTGTAAAGACTTGATATGTATATTATAAATAAATATATACTTTTACCTTAGACATCATCCGTTAAGTTCCCATCTTTTTTTGTCAGCAACAGAGATTTACCAAACATATTTTGAAACAATTTTTTTCTACAAGCTTATTTTAGCAAAAAATCGCCATTTGAAAGTTGAAAAGGGAATTTGGGGACTGATGCCTAATGTATATATATTCATTAGTAGCAAATTTTCTGAAGACAGGAAATACGTGTTTCTTTTAATAAAAAAATATGTGTAATATGCTTGCTTCAAAAAATTCCGACACTTTCACCACTTTCTTTCTATCTTATTTTATTCACACCAAGCAGATCAGAGAAGAACGAATATACTTTTTTGTGAGTTGAATCATATCCTCGTCATCCAATTGCTGTTACCATCCAACTGGTTCCACAAGGTCAGATACTTGAATAAATTATGCAAGTACCAAAAAAAATAATAATTTTTGATCACTCTTAAATTTTAGATTTTATTATAAATCTTGTATGCAGAATATGGGTCTGAAAATGGGCATCTAGAAACCAAGTTCCGACTATTTTGATTGGATTTGAATTCAAATATAAATATATTTGTGATTTATTTGTGACGTAAAGTAATACAATTATTACTAAAACATCAATAATAAAACCAACTCCATAGATTTTAAAAATCACCAGTGAAATATCAGATAAAAATATTATATTTAATCAATAACAAAGTAACTTCCTTATTGTATTATGTATTTACTTGAAAACCAAAACAATCCAAAACGACTGAAAATGAGACAGAATAGAAATAAACAAACATACCTTCTGCTCAAAAAGTACCTGGATTTTGTAAATAAAACACACAAATTTAAATTTTATTCCAAATTTATTTTATCTTTTTTAAAAAATTGCTCCTTTTGAAGCGATACACATATGCCAACGCTTAACCCAATCTTCCATACACCTTTGATAGGCCCGTGAAGGTATGGCTTTTAGTTCCTTCGGCGAATTCTCTTTTACCGATTCAATCGACTCAAAACGCTTACTCCGAAAGGGCAATTTGAGTTTCGGGAACAGGAAAAAGTTGCACGGATCCAGATCTGGCGAATATGGTGCCTGAGCGATGACAGTGGTGCCGGTGCCGTGTTTGGTCAAAAAATCGCGTACAACAAGAATTTTCCATAGTAAAAATCGCTAAATGAGGTCTTATAATACGAGAATCCCTTATGAAATAAAGAGTATCTCGGCAAAAAAATTTTAAAATTTTTTTCTAGAAGAAATGGATTCTTGAAAATGTAATTTCAGAATGATTTTTAAATAGATAAATTGTAGACCCTACAAATGAAAGAAATATAAGTTGATGTTGGAGATGATAGTGGAGATGTTGGTGGAGATGATGGTTGTATCTACCGAATTTTGCTGAATTTTGGTTTTAATATGTATTTTCCTCATACACTAAATACAAAATTTATTTATTTAGGTTTGAATTTAATTAAAAAATTATTTATTTTTAACATTATTTTTATTTTTCGTCTTTTTTTATCGAGAAAATATATTTCGTTGTATCTTACAGGAATGCATATGAAATACTTATTGTTAGTAATCAGAAAATTTTTTTCATATATAGATAGTTATATTAAACAAGATTCTTACGGCATTATCTACATTTAATAGCTGTGAAAATAATATTTCTTTAAATGACCTTCGAGTTTGATACTATTTAAGATTAGTAGATTTATTTCTATGTCTGGCATAGACTTTAGGTTTAAATAATTATTAAAATATTTTGAAAAAAGTCAAATGTCATTTAAAAAAATTTTGGAACGAATAGGAGATGGTTTAAAATCCATTCAGTTTTCAAACGAACCCATATTCGAATTAAATAATAAAAAGGCTAAAGTTAATTGATATGTCTTTGGAAACCAATTTTCATATTTACAGTTATTTAAACAATTATAAATGAAAATTGTTCACATGCAAACATTTGAGTTCAGTTAAATTTTATTCAGTTTTCCCGGCAAAACTTTTCTCCGTAGCATGGTCATGGTCCACAGGTATCTTATCAATGGCATCAAGTATAAATTTCAGTGAATGTCCCGTACGGGGTAACCACTGTAGCCAGCTCGATGAAGCCTTTGATTTAGTATTATCTTCATCATCAACAAAGTCAAGATCTCCACCACTAAGTGAACGTCCACCACCCAGGTAATCAGTATAATCATAATCCGATACTAGTGGATTCACTTTGGAATAATAAATTGCTGCGAAAGTCGAATAAATGATAAGAAGTGCCGTACCGACCTGAAATTAGACATAAAAAACAATTTTTTCATTATTTGTTTTTTAAAGATAATTTAATATTAATTAGATTAATTTAAATGTATACAGTTATAAATTACATATGTAGACATAATACAATTTTCAGATCTCTGTACTTCGATAAACTCGAAACTAATAAATTAAAAAAGGCATTTTTACCTCCTGAGAATAGAATATTAATAAGGAATCAAATAGAAACACTTTTTAGGAAATGTCAACTAACCTCATTGTGTTGTATTGGATTGATGGATTAAAATCAATGGAAATATTATGGAGCAAACAAATAAAAACCAATACTAACATGTGATCGCCTAGCATTCTAATACGTAAGCATGTTAAGCAACAATATTTTTTAAGGATATTAATACACTACGAGTATAGGCAAATTTGGCAAAATCAATGAGGAAGCATTTGCTAAAAAATTAATACTTGTTTTTCATCCTAACAGCTTTTCAAATTAACAAAGAACAAAAACAAATTTCGATTCTTAGATGATCCATGTCAGATGAATACTCTCTTGAGACACTCTTGAGACAAAAACAAACTTCGATTCTTAGATGATCCATGTCGGATGAATACTCTCTTGAGACACATTTTCGATGTAGGTACTTGGAAACTGATTCTCTTAATAAAGAACTCATCTGAATGCAATCAATTAAATGCAAAATAATAAAATTTTTGTCAAAAAAATGTCTCACCTACTAGTCTTCACTATTTAAAACTATTTTCTGAGTATATTAACTTCCAATTCCATAATAATCTGTCATAATTATTGTGGTATAAAAACGTGCCTTTCCAGAAAATTCGATTACATCTAATCGTCGAATCAAATTATTGCTTATATTCTCAATTGTATTCTGAGAATACTCTTACGAAGGATGTTGTCATTTATGAAGGTTAGTAAAGTCAGTTCGATTTTCAATTTGCATTTCCCTACAAACATGAAATACTATAGAAGTATCGTAATATTTTAAATATTAAAGGAGAACAGGAAAATAAAATATAATGCCTGCTATTACTATGGGACTAATCACTTATTAACCATGGTACATATCATATTTGTACTCGTTTTTATAAACTATACTTTTAGTATCCTAGTTTTTTTGATCGCTTGCAAGAATTTTTCAGTTTTTTTTATGTTTTCTTCAGATTGAAGTCTAAACATGTACCTACCATCTAATTTCAGAGTTATTAAGATGTTCAGTTAGGAACATACTTATTTCTTATCTTATGCTATTTATTAAGGCTCATATGCCGGAACAAATGTTTCATTAAAGTTATTATCTCATTGTAAATTAGTGTTTATTAAGGAGCATATGTCTCAATAAAATACCATGCCAAAATATATATACCTCCAGCTCAAAAAGTACCCGGATTTTGTAATTAAAACACAAATTTAAATTTTATTCCAAATTTATTTTATCTCCTTCAAAATATGCTCCTTCTGAAGCGATGCACATATGCCAACGCTAAACCCAATCTTCCACACACTTTTCGTAGGCCCGTGCAAATATGGCTTTTAGTTCCTTCGGCGACTTCCCTTTTACCGATTCAATCGACTCAAAACGCTTACCACGAAAGAGCAATTTGAGTTTCGGGAACAGGAAAAAGTCGCACGGATCCAGATCTGCCGAATATGATGCCTGAGCGATGACAGTGGTGCCGGTGCCGTATGTCAAGAAAGGATGTGCCAACATAATAAAAAAAAAATTTTGAAAAAAGTCTATTACTTAAGGAGTAGTTAACAAACAATAAAATCCGGATACTTTTTGAGCAGAAGGTATAAACCAGATAAATAGACTAATTACAGCAGTATCTTACAACTATTTAATTTTTTTAATATCATTTTATACGTTTATTCCTAGTGATTTTTGGCGTAGGCGCTTGGTAATCTGCAGCTAAATCCTTCCGATCGGTACGAATACAGCCAACCCTTTATGCATTATAGCGCTTTTTCAAAATTTCGTATGTTTCTGCTTCACTACTAACCAATTTAAAGCATAATTTAATACTCGCTAAAAACTTATGTTAAGTGACATTATCTTAAATGTAAAGTCAGAATGAATGTCGAGTGAAATTGCTCAAATGTTGATAGCAAGTATACCCAGTATATATCCCATTCATCTACTACCACTTTCTCATAGATGTCGCTATGCGAACAATTTGTTTGAACTACTGTCATGGAACTTCCGATAAACTGTGTATATGGTACATTTACTGATCGATTCCAAACCACTATATATATATCTTTGTATACATTTAAAACACTTTTTTCTTATTCAGTTCAGATTTGGAAAATACAATACCAATTGTCGAATATAACGCAATTAACAACCTTTCCATTGTTTAATTAACTGATTAACTTATGCGTTTTGTGGTCTTTCACTTTGGTTATATTCGTCTTACGTAATGATCAAAGCGAGAAATGCCTTTGACTATATTGCAAATGACATTTCAATTAAATTTTAATTGCGTCATACCCCCAAAGTAGACAACCCCTTTTGCTTCTATACGCTTTTCCGCAGCTTCACATCTGATATTCAGAGATTTATTTCACAGTTCAATAAATGTGAATTCAGTTCAGCCTGCGTACTTTTCAATAAAAATAAAATTAAAATAAATTTTCATTGCAGCTGAACTCGACCTGCCCGACCTGCCCGACTCGTACAAAAGTAAGAGTATATGAAAAACATTTTATGAATTATAAATAAATTAAATTAACACATAAATAAAATTGATTAATAGGATAGGTTGATAAACGGAAAATCAGAGAGACTATATCGAATAATGTGAACTACATTAACGAACACTGATTATTACTTTAACATAAATTGTAAAATTTTTCCGTCTCTTATTTATATATATTCTTTTTTTTTTGTTAGAAGAAAGTTGACCTATATGAATACTGCTATGTGGAAAATTTTTTTTATTTTAGAAAACAATATGTTTTCTTTAAGTAATTTATTGATTGACTCTGAAAAACATTTATTACTTACATATGTTTGGTTTTTTATTAAAACAAATATCTACTAAACTAACAGAGTTTTGGAAACTTATAACATCCCTGTATCCCCTGTACCTATCGTGCCTATTGTAAATTTTAAATCTATAAAAATACAAAGAACAAACATAGGTACAAATATTCCCTCATAGTGGCTGCATATTAAAAAGAGTTTTCACGCTTTTATTTTTTAACCTTAATTTATTCATTTGAGCTTTCAGGCATTCACACATATCCCAACTGTAAAATATGATATCCCAACTGAAATAAAAAGGCATAAAAATTTATATGGAAGATGCTATTCATAAATCCATAAACGCTAATGCTATATCTAGTCCTAATAGACTAACAAATAGTACGCAAAAATTAACTCTGGGTAAGCAATAATGCAAGATAAAATACTAATTATAAATTAAAAATTGAATAATTTTAAAAATAATCTTCTGGATTATTTTTTGATATAAAGTAAAAGTGGATCCTTTATCAGAGGATTAAAGGCAATTGCATTCAGAGAGCCATATCAAATCCCATTTTCTAAAATTTATTCCTTTTCACGAAAGGAACTGTTCTGTCTATGCTAACTTTCCTGATTAATTGAGTAGACGTAAAATACATTTCTTTACGAGATACAAACAATTAAAAAATCTCAGCAGATAAATTTAATAAATTAAAAAAAATATTTCAATAAATGATAAAAATATAATAAGCATTTAATATTAAAAAGTAAATTATAATAAATTTTTTAATAATTAGTAATTTCAATTAATTTAAATATAATATATTTCAACAATTTATTTCGTCTCTTTAATATTCTTTTTGATCATCAAATATCTGTGGTGTACACTGCAGACAATATATTATCATCGATTTATTTCTGTGCATAATTTTTATCGATTTAAACCCATGAGGCCTCAATCTATCAAGTCCTATTATTAACTATGTACATGAATTCACTTTAGAATATAAAAAGTAAAGCTATTCTCAAATAAACAAAACAGATCTGTATAGCCACAGAATGTAATAAGATGATGTGGACCGTAATATATTGACGGTTCAGACTACAGAGAGTATCTTATTATCGAAGTGTTTCTGTGCATAAAATCCTTCGATTTAGGACCAATAAGGCCTCAGCCTATCAAGTCCTACCACTGACTATGTATGTGAATCCACTTTAGAATTTAAAAACTAAAGATCTTCGTCATAAACAAACAAGATCTGTACAAGATCTGATATTGTGAAAAGACTTGAACCTGTTGTAGTTATCTAGTCAAGTCTACTTGACTAGATGTTAAAGCGAAAGGTCCATAAATTTGCTACTAGGCGATTAAATATTCAGATTAAAAGACTTATGCATTTACTTTTAAACTGAATTGCTCTAAAGCAAGTGAATATGTACGTACGTGTAGTACAATTAAATGTTAAAAACAAGAGGTGATGAGCTTTCAGTTCATTGCGCCACAAAATATGCAACAATATTGAAAAACCAGAAAGCTAAAAGGCACAAACGTTAAGCGCAATCACTTTACTTTTGAACGTGTTTAATTTTGAAAGGATATTTTTTCCGAATTCATGCATTTTCCCTACCTCAAAAAGGAGTACTGCAAAAGCTTTGACTCTGCCAATTTTCCGACTTTTCCAGTCTGTACCATACGCACACACATTTCACATTTGGCAAACACGCATTTCACTTAAAAACTCTTTTTAAGAGTGTTGAATTAAGTTGCCGTTAAATCAAATTTACCGCACAAATTGGATTTTAAGCAATTTTTATGTGAAGGCCTTCATAATTGAGAACTGTTGCATGCGCTCACAGCAAAAATGAAGAAATTAAGTTATAGTCATAAGGCATATTCATGAAGTAGTGAAACTCACTTAAGTTAAGTAATTATTTTTTAAGCTTTAATTCGACGGTAAGACAATAAGCCACTGCTATTTACTTTAGATAAAGTCATGACCTCCTACAGTAATCAGTAGCCTTACATTAACCTATTAATCATTGAATTAAGTAACGTTGGAAAAAATTCAACATCGTTTAAATATGAGTAAAATAACTTAAAAGTAACTTAATGTATAAAAATATTTTCGGATACGAATTATTTGGGTCCCTGGACATAGGGACATCCAGGGCAATTGTATAGCAGATGAATTAGCAAGACATGTTACGACAGCACAAATTCTTCTGGAAAAAGAAAGTGTGGGTATACCAGTTGCTTCTTGTCGGCACCGAATAAAATTATGGACATACCAAATGTTTGAAAGAAGATGGTCAACAGTAACAAACTGCATAAAAACCAAGGAATTTTGGCCAAAAATAAGTAAGAAAAGATCGGAGGAATTAATCAATCTATCCCGAGCAAATTTATCCAGGATAGTGGGAATTATTACGGGACACTGCCCGTTGGGAGGACATGCCGTGAGGCTCACATCAGGACCTCCTTACATTGTAGGCATTGCATGGAGGATGATGAAGAGGAATCACCAACACACCTTCTGCTACAGTGTCCGCAAGACATAGACTATCCTACTTAGGGTTGCACTTTTTCTATTCACTAAGAGAGCTAGATTCTATTTCCATAGCTCGTGTCAATGGCTTTGTAGCCAATACCAAGTGGTTATAGGGACAGGTGTCAAATTCTTTAGGGTATCACAATGAACCTCATGGTCTAAGTGAGTCTTCGGACGGCCCTAGTAACCTAACCTAACCTAACCTAATGTATAAAGTCTATAAAGCTAATTGATCAAATTGTATGAATACTGGTTCTTATAAATATCGATACCAAGGGGTAAAGTGCATGCAAACTTCAGCATAATAAAACAATTTAAATCTAAACTTACTATAGGTATTATATGCGTTATAGGCTCAGTTTAATAGAACCATTAAAAGAGAACTTAGTAACAGGAATAAATAAAGGTTCGTTTTGTATGTTTCCTCTATTTAATAACATGACAGACAGACCCTCTGTCTGCCTCTGACGAAAAAGCCGACCAGAAATCATTATATCGGAAACATAATATTCAGCACAAGATCGTAATGTTTTAAGAACGCTTTCTCTCGAGTGTAAAATCTGAAGCAGCAATATTTGTACAGAGTACAAGACACTATGAATCTAATTAAAATCATCACTATTCTTTTAGTGGATATAAAACTATTGGTAGTGTAATATCCTATCTTGAAAACAAATTGTAAAAACAATTTAGACTAACAGTTAAGCAGCTATCGAGTAACTCACATTTCACCAAGTAAAATCAAAATGTGCCATAGAATAATAATGAGACTCCATCTTTATTAAAACAAATATAGATTGCACGAAACGTTAAGATAAGATTCGAAACTTTTAAAAAACAAACATCTAGCCCAGCTAGCCCATCTAGTTATAGCCCAGCTATTACAAGCTATATGCCGTAAAATCATCGGAAATTATCTCTAAAGGATCCAATACGATAAAAGATTCCGTATAGTTATTTCAATGATATACTTAACTTCCAATCACAAGTTCCAAAAAATGATGTTTGTTTTCAGATCCACTAAATTGGTAGTCTTGTGTGATTTGATGAACGGCATGTGAATACATATGGACAGAGCTGTGCAGTAATGAATACATTTGTAATTAGATTACACTCAATTATAAATTACAGAATAATTATAATTAATAATTAATTTTCCAGATTACAAATGTGATTATAATTGAGTTGAATAATTGAAAACCTTGATTACAACAAACATGATATTTAATTCTGGTACATATAAATACGCTGATTTTTTGATCATCTTATGTAATTTAACATTGTGTTTCTCCTGTGTGTCTGACTCTTACTTTGTAGTACACAAACTCAAACACCCCTCCTTCTTCTGCAAGATATCGCCACCCGGAACCGCTCACATTACTTCAAGGAGGATCTCTTATAAGTTGACCATGCATGCCATATGCTTCTCGTAAAACCTGCGTCCAGGTTACCACTCTTGATCCGAATTCGAAAGTCATCAGATTACTTTTCGTTTTAGATTAGTTTGCGTCTAGGTCTTTTTTCTTTTCTCTTAGCACATTATATGATTTTATTTCACTTTTCTACTCGTGTTGTCATTTTTTCAACGATATTCTCGACTGTGAAATGACTTACATATTCTACAAGTAGTATTCTTTCTCCATGCCATCGTTCACAGTTGAAGAAAGTATGCTCAGCATTTTCTTTGACTGATCCGTAATATACAACTGCGCTGCTCTACTTTTTGCATTCTGTATAGACATTTTCGAAAATATCTATGACCAGATAGGAAGTGTGTGACATAATAGTCATGCTTGTCAAAATTCCCTTCCGTCTACGACTTGTAAAGTCGGAATTAGCTTCGTCGTCCATCTTCCTCTTAAATTAAAGTTCCATCGTTGTTGTAATTTAACGTTCTATAGCTTAGTCAAAAATTGACAATTCTCTATATTATAAACTGAAATTAGTAACAATATGGCCAAATTTGCACATATCCAACTTATCTAATCCATTTATTCCGTTTAGTATTCTTAGATAATGATTATCGATTAATTTAAATAGTTATTCAAACTCATTTAATAGTTAATACACATGATTTTGAATTGAAACATCATAACATCATGAAATAATTATATAAAGTAGAAAAGTTTCTTCTAACAACAGTGAATTGCAACAACAAAATTTTATTAGTTTTAATTAAGTGAATTTTTGGTTGATCATATAGCTGAAGGGTACTTGACAGTATTGTCAAATACCCATCATATTTGACAGTGGGTATTTGACAGTGTTGCCAAATACCCATCATCAGTAATTGTATGGAAGTGTTACTTATACTCGTATTTAATTAATCGTAAATAACTCTTTGAGACTGCAAATATCGAGAATTGAACTTGTGCTCTGCTATATTTGAAGCCAAGTATAAAATATAAATATTTTACTTTAATAGCTAAAATAAAGAAACAATAAAATTTCTTGTTGAATTAAAATCAGAAAGGCAACAACTTATAAAAATACAAGAATGTCAGAATTACAGTGATTACAACTACTTTAACTCAATAAGAAATCAGCTAGATTAGGCTTTTCACTACATTATCAACACTATTTAGCATTTCTCTCAACTTAGTAGCAATATCCCTAATTTTGCATATATCTAACTCATGTGAACCATTTAGAGCATTTAATATATTAAAAAAATCATTTGCGATTTATTTACAGAACATCTCTGTAAGCCCATTTCAGCAAATATTTTGAGTATATCAGATTTTGAATTCAACAACAAAAAGTGCTAAAAAACAGCATTAATTTGTTATTATATGAGTTCAATACTTTTTGCTAACTCTAAACCAAGGCAAAGTTGGGTTCAAAGTGCAATTCCTATTCAAAATGAATATATTTCAAATAAGCAATTAGTGCCACATTCCCACATATAATATATAGTCGTAAATTACCTCAATCAATTATAACATCTCTTGAAACAAGATCTCTCTCACTAATCCCTACTGAAATATTATTTCATTAATGCTATGAAAACTGTCGAAATATTCAGTGACGTTTTTAATGCATCGGTTTGTATTGATTAAACATGGAATCAATGCAAAGTATTTCAATTTCGTCTGCTTCCCGCAAATATTTTGCAATATTCACTAAAATTTAGAAAAATTTTGTTTTTTGGGATTATTTTCAGTAAAATATTTATTTTACTGTAAAATAACGAGAACCAAAAAAAAAAAAAAAAGAATGCAGCTCCACAATAATTTGTCTTGCTTAAAATTTTTCTCGTCAACTGTCAAACTCGGCTGGAGTGATATATGACAACGATGTAACCTATGATGGCATTGATGAAGTTACTGCTGATGCTACTGAAGAGCACGATGATGGCAATGATGAAATTTCATGCATCGCTGATTTTACTGGTAACATTGAAGAAAATGCTGGCTACCGAAACTGTCAGCATGAAATATTTCAGTTTAAAAGCTACAATGAATGATTAAGAACGAAATGATGATGTTAGAGAAGATATTATTATGACTGCGTACACTTGTGAACTACAAGCACATACAAGTGAAATAAATATTTAATGACTTATTATATATTAATTGTGTTTACCTTTACAATAGAGATTAATTTCTATGAAAATAGCAGTATGTGTACTTGTAGATGTCCTCATAAAGACTCTTAGTTATGAGTATCTCAGCAATTTTAAAATATTTATATACTGTTGTGAATAAAGAATATACAGGCTTGGAATGTAGTAAAAGGATAAGGCTACCAGAAAATTCGGAAACAATTATATGGGAAAAACTAGATGCAGGTAAAGAGACAAACAGATTGTGACCATAGGGAATATCGGAGCCAATAGTATCCTAATTAAGAGAACATTAGTGGGTCCGAATGAAGATGGTAGTATGCTAATTCGGCTTGTGAAGCTATCTAGTGCGATAATTGGTCAATGAGAGAAGGTTATAGTGGCGACTTATTTTCGCATTATTTCAAAAGTAATAAAAATGAAAGGAACTTACTTGGAAAACGGCCCAAAACTTGTAACTGCCTTCTGTAATGACATAGTCATAATAACCTTTTAACGGATCACCTTTTATATAACGACCTTCCCCAACATCTGCCACTGCAGTTGAATCGCTCATTGATTGACGTTTTTCACGCAAACCCTCAGTTTCCTTTTTATTCGCCTTATCACCTTTCGAGCCTTTGCGTGGCTCAACTTTTGCAGTATCCTCGTCTGCTTTAGAAACTGTTGTCGACGGAGTTGTTGGAAGTTTTGTTGTTTTTGTAGTTTTTGTTGCTTTAGTCGTTTTAGGATTTTCTGTGGTACCATTTTTCTGTGAGGATTGTTCGTTCTTGTTGGAGTCGAACTTTGGTGGCTTCTTTGAATTGATGCGTATTTGTTTCCGATGTTCAATCTGCTTTTGTTCCAAAATCTCCTGTTGCTTCTGTCGATGTTCAGCTAATGTATTCCAAGCAGATGAGAATGCCTGATAAATATCCCACATTGTTTTTAAACTTTTAACTACAGTTACAATTGTTGGTTCACTGTTTTCATTTTGTATGGGTCTACGTTGTTGTTGTAATCCTGTTTTCTTTTCTTGTAATTGTTGTTGTTGCAATCGAGTGTCCTTTGTATGATACTGAGGCATATTTGCATGTGCAGCTGATGATTGTGGGTAATCATAGTCATATACCGGATCTGGTTGCCTTTAATGAGAAAAAGAAAATATTGACAGAATTATTTTACAAGAAAAACTTAAATTAGAAAAAAAATGCAAAATATTTAAATGAACTTAAAAAATTTGTTTAAATAAAAATAAATAGAATAAAAAATAATCATTATTTCTTTTTTTTAATTAAGAGTTGTCTATCCTATGACAAGAAATCTATTTCGAATAGAAAAGGATTTCTTTGAAATCCAAAGAAATTTTCGAATGTAGTAAATTTCTAGGCTGATAAGTCCGAAGAATAACGCGACACTAATGCAAAATTCATATCAATGTAAGGTGACAACTCTCAATTTTACAAATTAAGCTTATAAAATAATTTCAACTAAATCAGGGGTGATGAAGTTACTTTTTGTCAATAGTTTTTATTTTCGAAATAGTACCCATAAAAAATATCGGAGTTACTGCCATTTTCAGAACTCCCAGTGGCAGTACCTCATAGGACAAAATATTGCAATATATATTTCTAAAAAGGTTTTTTCGAACAGTAGTGAAATACAACAACAAAAATTTATTTTTTATATTATTTTTAATTAATTGAATTTTTGGCTGACCATACAGCTGTTTGGAGTATTGCCAAATACCCATCATCAGTGGTCTTGGAAATAATTCTTATATTTAGTTATTCGTAAATAATTATTTCGTGAGACTGCAAGTACGAGGAATCGAACTCGGGTCCTGCCAAATGTGAAACTCAGAAACAGCGCACCTTAACCAACTAATCCAAAGCCGTACTTGACTTTTTCGTTCGCATATTTTTCTGGAGTTTTGTTACTATTACTATGAAAGTTTTTATTAACAATTTTACTTGCTATGTTTATATTAGAACGAAATCATAAACCAGCTGTAGAATAATTGAATTAATTAATTAGTTATAATTTTATTTTCAATTGTTAAATTTCAATACTATTCTGTTTGTAGCGGCATTATTTGTTGTATGATTTGTTCTTTTTTATGTATAGAACCTAATCTAGGAACGTAATACTGAGAAAGTCATACTAATGTTACTCCACTAGTCGCATATATATTTATTTTAAAAATGGTACTCAGATTTTGCCTTTCTTAGAACCCTAAAGTCTCACGGGAAAAAAGTTTTATTTTACAAATTAATCTGATAAAGTAATTTTTTGTCAAGATTTCTTTCGCTTGTAAGAGAATGACCCATTTATACTTTATGAATTCAAAAACATTCTCCTTAGTGCGTTACAGAAATATTGACAAATGTCACACTTTTTGTGTGCAGAGTAAAAAACTCAGAGTATGAAATTTCATACATAAAAAGGAAACGATAAATACTTTTTACCCAATCTGTTATTTAAAATAATGGTAAGTTTTCACAATTTTTCATTTCTCGCCTTAATTAATTACTTCCATACTATATTGCAATATTTATATAATATTTTCTTAACATTTTTTCCACAAATAAATTGAATTTTCGCTGAAACTCCAGTCTTAAAGAGCTCTAATTTATTCTTATTTTTCCGTGGGTCTTTGGCCTTTGATTGTACGAAATTATTAACAAAGCGAAGCGGCGATGTCAGTCTGACTTAGTACATAAAACATTTGTACTTCTCACAAATTACAACAACAGTTCACTGCATGGCAATAATCATAAATATTACAGCACCGAAAAACAGTACAGAAACAAAATCTTCTTAATGAGCCTCATCAAGCTCATGGAGTGTATAGAACGGCACATATCCGAGACGGGAGCGGCAGAGCTTGACACACAACGACACGAAAATCTGCACACAAGTTTATAAAGTGTCATGACGCATTATTTTCGCTTAATTTACGAGTTGATTGCGCGTTATTATAATGCAGGGTTGAATACATAATTCACACCAATGCACACCAATACACACACAAGTGCACACAAGTACACATGAAGCCACGCTCATGCACACACAGGAACAATTAAGCTTCTTTCGTTCTTGCACATGACAAAGTTTTCCTCCGGATTTATTCAAACATTTAATGTGTTTATTTGTCTTTTTATCTTCTTTGAGGAACTTTTTAATTTGAATAAATTGTGACAGATAAGAGAACAATTACTTTCGTCGCCCTAGTGGAATGATCCTTTTAATTTCAAGCGTGACGAGTAAATAAGTACCAAGTGATACGATCAGTGACTCACACAAAGGAAACTCAAACAGCTGTGAACCTATTCATCTCTATTCATCTCTTTATAGTGACTATGAGGGCATCTCATGGCATCGTGGTATGTTTAGCAGATGATTAGTGACACATTTTCGGGACTAGATTTCAAATTCAGGAATGTGATTGTCAAGAGGTTAAAATCTTAAATTATTCCCTTCATTTATTCATATTTATTTATTAAGCATTATTATATTATATTTTCTTTATAATGACTAAGAGCTTAATTCACGTTTTTTATTAGTTTAAGTAGGTTTTTCAGATAATTAGTGACAAAATTTGAAATTTAGTTAACTAATTATCTTCTTTTATATACAATAATATTTTTTATATCAAAAAATGTGACAAATGTGCACTATATTCATACATTCGTACATGATTATTATTAAATAATAGGCTATGAACGCACCCCGACCTAAAAGATCTATTGTGCACCTAAGGTTATACCGGCGATCCCTAGTGGATCCACTTAGGCTCATTGTATTACATTGTGCGCCTAAAGGCGCTTAATTTTACCTATTTGATTGGAGACTAAGATTCCATTTCCAAGGCAGTCGAGTCTACGTCTTGCCGCCTTTGGGTAGTTTCAGAACATATTCTGTTCTGATGCTTCCTTCTGCTCATGACAGAGTGGACAGGAATCACTTTCTACCGCACCTATAATCTTCATGTGGTAATTAAGGCTACAGTGTCCTGTAAGAAGTTCAGTGTAGATTTTAATATCGCTTCGGTTAAGGCTAAGGATTGACGTGTTTAGGATCAATAAATCTTCTTGACTGTCAACTACCTGTTTGGGCTCTCCAGTGTTCAGGTAGATACTGTTTCTCCCGTTCACATAATAAGTTATTTGTGAAGCTATTTGTTAGGGCTCTATTTGTTAGGACTCTGGAACAATCAAAGGAGTACATGTTCCCTTCTTTGCTAGGGAGTGTGCTATTTCATTGCCCTCGTGCCCCTTTATGTATACAACAAAAACGCTTAAATCTTGGGAACATCACTTCAAAAGTTCAAAACTTCAAAACTTCAAAACTGATAATAGATGTTCAATATAAAGACATCTTCGTTATGTAGAATTTTTATTTTATTTTAATTTCATTTTAATTTTAAAATTTAAATTTTTCTGATATAAAATAATTATAGAAACAGTTGATATCCAAAGAAGTAATTAGACAGAAGCACTTAATAAGCCTCTGCTCTAGCTAAGAAAAACAATTTTTTGTTTTTTCTAGAAATCCGAGTTTAGTTGTTTTATCCAATTGTAATGGTAGTTCAACATGTAACTTTCTAATGACCTAAATTAGCCATTTCTAGACGTTTGGCTGCCATTTTCCTCGTTAGAAACTTTAAGATATAAAAAAATTAAAACTAAATCCATCCCGTCAAATTTAGACAATATAATATATCTCTTATCCTTACCCATGATTAGTCTGACAAAGTGTTAAAAAAGTTCTTCACTAAAAACTTATTTGTTCTGGATACCAGAGCCGAGCATTCACAGAGAAAATATTTAATTGTTTTTTTTTTCTGTTAGTTTCCACAACTTCTAAAATGAGCATTAAAAGGAATACACCAATGTCTACAGAGAACTACAGTAAACCTCGCAATATTCACGAGAACCGAGTTTATTCGCGAACATAATCCTATGAAATAGATTTTTTTCGTTTTTGTTATATCTTTTAAAGACAAGCACTCTTCTTCTCGTGAAGAGTGCTTTTAAAGACAAGTCCAGAAAATCACACCCCATAATTTTTTTTTTTGAGTGAGCCATCATCAAATTTCAAAATGAATCAACAACCTTCAAAGAAACAATGCAGCAGGAAAAGGATTGTTTTTTTTTTGGAATAAATTTTTATAATAAAATATACACTTAACAGTTGAACTAGTCGAACCAAATAAGTATATAAAGTGATCGTGTAAACAGTATATACAGAGTACAGGACAAATTTTAAAACTAATTTCCATGAAGTGAAATGATCTTACAAACGAGGAATTGATTGTCAATATTTAGCAAAATATTCAACCTTAAATAAATTCGACACAAATAAAAAGTTAATACTCAAAAACCCTTAATTTAAGGAAGAAAAAAATGAACGCTTCATTAGAAATTCAGTAATTTCCGCTGGTGCAAAATGAAAAAATGTGTGCAAATTATAACTTCCACCTTAATTTGATATGAGTCTAACCTTAAGCGTTTGCTGATCTTTGGGGCACAGCGACCGGTGATGAATACCTACTCCACGCCGAATAAATGTTAAAACTGTAACTGAATACTTTTACCCGCGTACGTTTGGGTATTAACCACAAAGCCCTCGAGTGAAACCACAAATGGTACGCATAGCCGAAGCTGCGAGCCGATGACCCCCAAGGTAGATTTACAGCTCTGGTCATGTGTCGCAAGTGGGGCGGAACACTTACTATCATGCACACTTCTCGCACAAGTGAAGAAGTGGCATCGGGATTTTAGTCGCCTCTTACGACAGGCATGCATAGCGCGGGAATATTCTGGCCCCTTCATCACAGAGGGAATCTTTCACGGACCGTAGAGCCGTATCGTCTGCAAAAGTTGTAATTGTTGTGTTATATAAACTCGGCATATCGTGTATATACAAAAGAAATAATAACGAGACAAGGATGAGGATGTGGAACGTCCGCTTTTATTGGACACAATATTCATGATATAGATTCTCTATAAAAGTTAAAGACCATGACTTCTTTATGGTTAAAGAAACTCGGTTTCAATTCGTTGATTTTGATTTTGAATTTTTTCTTCTTGTTTTTCGCCATACTGTAGGCGTGGATAAGTGTCATCACTTATTATGGTTG